CAAGGAAGGGTCGGGTGGGAAGGGCCGCCCGTCAACTTCGAGCAAGGCCTTGCCGCAGGACACGCAGGGACCCTCCGCAGCCAGTGGCAGCTCGAAAGGCAGCAAAACACCGACCTCTGTAAGTATTCTGTAATTGGGGGAGGCAATTTTCAATTAGGAAAAAAAGGAATGTCATTTTCGCTCTTTTATTCATTTTGCAGACGCCGCTCGGTTCCAAGGCCGCCACCAAGAAGGGCCCCGAGAAGCAGAAGTCTGGCCGTGGAGCCCGCTTCAAATTGTCGTCGGTGATCAAGGCATCATCCAATGTAAATAGTTCTTTTCTTCATTTTGTCATTAATTTATTTACATGTCCCATTTGAAAATTGATCGTGAATGCTGAAAAGATTTAACAATTAATTATTTCTTTCTGCATATTGTGTTTCAGTTTCGAGCCCCGCAAACTTACAGATGCCCATACTGCCTTTTTCTTGAAACACAGAGGAGCAAGGCAGTAAAGCACATCCAAGACAACCACGGACAGGCCATTCAGCGGGAGCGGTACGGCATGGACGGCGTGCAGGTGCGACTCGAAAACAATTCGTGCCGTGGAGTGCGGGTCCTCTGCAAGGGGGTGTTTAAGGCCCACACGCGTCGTCTGAAGCCCAGGATGTCCAAGGAAACGTTCAAGTTTACGCTGGACGTCATTAAGTGCCTCCTGCTTGAGGCACTTGTCATTATCGGCGAAGCTGACGTGTACGAAGAGCTGAAAGTCGACGTGCTTCGGTCGGCGTACAGCAAGCTGCTAGAGTAAGCATATAGCATCTCCTGTTTCAATTACATACGTTAGTTGTAATGGTTGTGTTGGAAATGTTACTTTTTCTTCAAATAGTAGACAGCTGTAAATTTCAGGAATGAAAGATTTGATGCAATGTGAAGAAAAAGTAAATTTTCGACCATCCGAAAGATGCTTCTCTTAAACTTACCCGTTTTTCCTTCATCTTGTCAGGGTGTGCGGTATCTACGAAGAGGAGGAGGATAGCTCGGACGAGGAGGACGCTCAGCACGTGGGAGACGACGGTGACGACGCCGAAGTCCATGGCTCCGGTGATGAGCAGCAGGCCAGTGACGAAGAAGTCTCCTCCGATGATGAGCCGGGAAGCGAGGAGCTCTCAGAAGAAGAATCTGAATCAGATGACTGATCCGATGTACAGTATGGTCTATACCAATTTGAAATTCTACTATTTGTACTTAATGTGACTTTGTTATCTGATCCGATGTACAGTATGGTCTATACCAATTTGAAATTCTACTATTTGTACTTAGTGTGACTTTGTTATCTGATCCGATGTACAGGATGGTCTATACCAATTTGAAATTCTACTATTTGTACTTAGTGTGACTTTGTTATCTGATCCGATATACAGTATGGTCTATACCAAATTGAAATTCTACTGTATTTGTACTTAGTGTGACTTTGTTATCTGATCCGATGTACGGTATGGTCTATACCAATTTGAAATTCTACTATTTGTACTTAGTGTGACTTTGTTATTTTTATGTCTGACTAATGTCAATAAATCAGGTTAATTTTTTGTACTTTTGTCTCTGCATCCATCTTTCACCTGAGAGTCCATCAGGACTGAACAAGTGCAGACTGCAAATGTAGATGTTTAACGTTAAATGCATGGTGGAAAAAAGAGATATGTCAAGCTGCACCCACAAACTTGCTCAGAGGGTTTGAAATTGTATATTAAATTAGACTTCTAACAGGAGAACTAAGATCAGCAGTTTGAACCTCCAACTCCTATTCGTTCTGAAGTTACAAATGTTTACGCTAAAATTATAGAATCTCCGTTAACATTCAATACTTAGAAATGAATAGGGTTGCAATGTTCAAACTGGTACTCTGAGTTTTTCTTATAGTAAGCTAATTTTTATGCACCAATACAAATAGATCTCACCTATTTACATCATATTTTGATGACTTGTCTCATTTTGAGTGGGTCATTGTGATAAGCTGAGCTGTCACATTGTACTACTCGATTACTTGGGAAAAGTCACTGAAGTTATAGGAATACCGGTGATGAACCATTTTTTTTCAAATGATCTGTTATTGGTATGCATGAGTTTGTAAATTGCAGCCAAAACATTTTGAAACAAAAGCCTGCAAGATATTATTTTGCATTTCCCGTAAAGTTAGCGAATTTGACGTATCTCTTTTTTCCGTTACCCAGCCCACTTGATAACCATTGGCTTTGCAGTGTTAAGACTGTCATTAGAAGTGCGGACACTCCGTATTCAAAAATAAGACGGCACTAAACGGGAAAGGGATGATTTGATGCATTTTGTTTGGAGCTTTTTCTTTATTGAAAACCCTTCACCAGTGCTTTATTTCTACAATTTGCTATTCAAAAGTTCAAAATGAAACATTATATGAAATAAATTTTGCAGAACAAAGTTACACACAAAAAAAAAACTAAGACTCTAAGAATTATTCAATTATCAAACTTCTCCAATATGCGATGAGCCAGGTTCGATTTCTCTTGTGCCCACACTGCTGGAAGGGCACTTAGCAGGCTGTTCACGACCTCTGTGAGCTGCTGCGCCGCCCCGTCACTTGTCGCGTGGGACGCTGCAGCGGCAATTCCTTCTATGAGCGCATCTCTCACGCTGTCCTTCCAGTAATGCTGGATTGTCGAGTATAGCATGGGGTTCAATCCAAATTCGAAGGTGACATCTTTCGATCGAAGAGCGGCTCTCAAACCTGACATGAGGGCTACTGGGCCATGAAAAGCGTCTGGAAAGGGAAAACAAGTAAATTTTCATATAGTAGCACATGTAAATACCAAGGAATCCGGGCATGAATTAAATACTATATGTAAACACGTTAATAGCAAAATGAAAAAAAAATTGAAAATAACTTACCTGTTGGTGCTGGCAGGTCGACACGCTTTTCTCTCACCAGATCCAATGCTACCAAGCAAGAAATTACTTCTTCCACGCTCTTGGCCTGCGCGATCACAGCCTGATCCGTTTTGAAACAGTAATGCAGGTCTGTCACCTGTTTCCCGTGGCACAAATAACTGCTTATTCGCTCCTGTGCCTTCCCATTTGCATTTTGTTCATAAAACGAATTTGTTTCTATAGTTTTACGTACCAAATTAAAAGTAATATGAGGTGGTTCCAACTTGTATTTCTTTCTGAAAAATGAAGTCAAAGGCCCAAATAGTTCTTTGCACGCTCTGCCAGAGGAGTTGATCGGGAACGCTCTGTTCGCCTTCCCATAAAAATCAGACATTGCTTTAATCATATTGTACTGGTGGATTTTCAGAGCGACGGACGCCGGGCCATGAGACTTTACAGACTTGTGCCTATGGATCCGTACTATGTATCTTCCATTCGTGCAGACGGCATCTTTCAATTCATTTTGGGTGAGATTCAGAACGGCACAGAGCCTCTGGCCGTGCAGCGCCAAATAGCAAGCTGACACGCACCTAACTAGTTCCATGTCACTCCTGGAATGCGCGTCGAGACGCTGTGGATCGGAAAGAACGGCTTCACACTTTGCAGCGTTTTCAGATAGGAAATCGACAATTGCCAAAAAAGGTGCATTTTGAAACTGCCCGCTGCGAGTTTTGGCTCTCTGTTTTGCGCGAGCTGCCCTCTGCAACTTGCATTTGACGAGATCCCAGGCATCTTTCGAGTTTCTGAGTGCATCTTTCATCTGCGGTCGATATCCGACAGCATCCTTTAGTTCCCTACTCGTCAAAACAAGATCGATCAAAGTCACCATCGCCGTGCAGTGATTTTTTACAGTGTAGGGTTGAAAAGTTCTGCTCATCACCAAGATGAAATCCATTGGAATTTCGGAATCACAAAGCAGTTTAACTTCGTCATTGCTATGTGCATTTTTCTTTGCCCAATCGAAGAATCTGTGTATCATATTAGCATTTGCGCCGGGCTGAAGTGGTCGTTCTGGAACCCATACTTTCTTCTACTTTTAGGTAGCTTTTAGCTGTATGGCACAAACTTTTAAACTGAGGGACTAGACCAGCTTTTGCTATGTTGGTAATCCGCTGCCGACGGTGGCTTTCCAAAGTTGTGTCCTTTCGGACAGGGTTCTGGCTGCAAGTGGAAGCAACTCCTATTTCCAACAGTGGATGATCCATTGGTACCGTGTTAGCAGCAGGGTTCTTTACTATACCGTTATCTGAGCTATTCTCGCCATCAGTCAATAATTCTTCTCTTTCCATCTCATCATTTTTTCCTGGCATCTTGCCACAATTGAAGCTTCTTTCTGCAATCGATTGTTCCAGTTCGTCTCCGGAGGTTCCTACTTGCATTCCCGATATCTGTCGGCAGTCCATGTCAGTGGCATCTTTCACAAGCACATTGTGATACAGAAGGACTCGTTTCGCCACGGTCAGATGCGATTTGCTGTCATAGAAACGGCCAAGAAGTGTCCTTACTTTGCTCTCTGTGGTTATGCGGATGCCCCGTCGGTTATAAGACTTGTATTTTAGAACGAAATCTTGCATTTTGGCACTGTTTCGGGTGATGCCATGCCGCGCCACGCCGTGTGCCCGCAGCCTCGTAATCCGTCTGGTGGAATGCAGGCACAGTGGGCACATGAAGAGCATTGCCTGCAAAAAACAAAAACGAAAATAGAAAGCTACGTTAATTGAATGTCAGACTGCAAAGTGAAGAAGCGTGTTTTTATTGCATTTTAATTACCGTTCGATGTTTCACTTCTCCTGTTTTATACCGTATCGTCTCCGATTTCAACTAGGCACAGGCATAGAACGGCCCTAAGGAAAGAGAGATGCTGTTTGCGCTGATCGCGAGGGACGGATTTCAGGAGGCCCGCAATCTGCTGCGGTGCAATCTGCCGCAGACCGCTCTTAGCTCTGTGATAAATTTTGCTATTTACGCCGTGTGCACCAAACTGCAGAATCTCGCGTTGGTGCTTAGCTTCCAAGTGGCCACGCAATGTTATCACCTGGTGGAAAATGCGCCCACAAAACGGGCAGGCTCTAACGCGCTGTGGTAGAGAAGAGGTTCCGAATAAATCGACCACAGGAAAATATTCTATATGTATTTTACGACATACCCACGTCACTCACCTCTTGTTGTACGCGCGCGGCTGCAGCGCCAGAAACACAGGGCTTTCCCCTTTGTTCTAATTCACTTTCCAAATGGAAGTCTCTTGATGACGGGTTCAGGGCCTGCAAAGAGTGCGAAAAAAAAAGGCGCATGTAATTAGGGATTCAGTCTCATAAAAAGTGAACATGACAGTGCAAATAACAAATAATTTGGTTAGGTTATTAATTTGAACTCTATTTGCCCCAAAATGTAGTTTCAATTCTACAAGCTTTAGTTCCTTCTAAGAGTGAAAAGTTACTTCACCTTTCTGCCTGGTTTCTGGGTGGCTGTCGCCAGCCTATCAGTCGAACGGGTACGTCTGGCCAAACTTAATTGTGTAGCTGAACTCGCAATCTCTTCATCTGCCTGAAACCGAACATGTTTCTATTAACATGATATATATATATCTGTTCGACACTCTTAACGGTTTCCGAGTGCTTACCTTGTTCGATTCAGAAAACTCTGCTTCATCGGAACTTATAACGCACAAAACACCAGCCTGGGCAATTAAACGACGGTCAGTAGTCTAAATTTTCGCTTTCTTTACATCAAATCGAGATTTCTTATCCTTACCTCGTTATCCATTTAGCAAGCGCGTTGAGCGGTGCGCTCCACGTGTTGTGTCGGCAGGCCGGCAGCTTCCGGAAGTGACCACAGTCAGGGCCTTGCGTCAATCCGTGTGCCAAGTCACCGCCCTCGCGTTCCGCTTCTTTTTACTTCTGTTCCTCCCTCGTTTTTTCTGCCGCCCGTAACCTACCAAATCGCCGCGTGGTTGGATCTTTCAGTCGGAGTCGCAATTTGAGTCTTTAAATGTATTTTGTGCAGAACGTCACCAGGCGTGTAGATTCAAGACTGATCAAGCCCTTGTTTTCAAGTTATCAGTTTCCAAGAAAACGTCTCAAGGTAAGCCGTAAACGTTCAAATAGGTTTCAAATTCATAACCTAACCAAATTAATTGTTATATGCATTGTACCGTTCACGCTTTATGAGATTGCATTCCTATTAAGTGCGCCTTTTTGGTGCACTGATCCCGTTTGGCATTGGAAGAGCAAATACATTGTAAATCCTTCGCATTTTATTCGTATCTTATTCTTATTGAAACGAGTCACTCATTGATTCCACGAGGCAAGTCTCACCGTGCCAAGGAAACGCCAGCAATTAACTTTAACTCATATTGAATTGATTTGTTTGCAGAATGTCCCTCATGCCCCGAGCTCCATCCGTCAAATGGCCACCAGACCGTTTAGATGACGCCCACTTTGCTGAAGACATCACCTGGGAAGAGGTCTTGGTACCGGTAAGATGCACGTTTCATTAACAAATTGATCGAACATAACCTAAAACAAAATTATTGCCGTAAGCGAACACTCGTAGTTCGTGAAACAATTAT